TAATAGCTCCACCAAGACCCAAGCAACACAGAACTGTTGATGAGAAGGGAGGTTGATAATTTGAATTGACGGAACAAGATATGAATTGAACATGAATGTGAATATAAAATTAGGGTTTTACATTTATCAGACCCAAAAAAAAAATTCTTACATATACATTCAAGAAGAGATAATTTTCTAATGTGGTCCGGGACTAAATTAAAAAGTCATGATCTTTCGCAAATAATTCTCATTTTTTTCTTGTTTTTTTAACAAAATTCTCAATTTGTCCCCACTAAATAACACAAAGACCACCTACTCGTGGAGCATGGAATACCTCTTCCAATAATAGATAGAAAGTGAAAGGATAGAAGAGCAAAAAAATTATATGGATCCTATCTCTTGAATGTGTGTGTAAGACTTTTTTTTTAAAAAAATAAACAAAATTTAAATTTAAAAATATATCAAAAAAAATTATATGAATATGATTCGTGTATTTTATGATCATATAAATAATTTGCCAATTTTTTTTTGTTTTTTATTAATTTGCCAATTTTTAAGTATGTTGTTTGTTATATGAGTTGACAATCATATAATACTACTAACTAGTAAACCTCAAAATGTATAGTTTTTTTTTTTTTTTTTTGAATAACCAAAATGTATAGTTTATTATAAAGATTAACACATACAATACAACACAAATAACTTAACTTATAAAAATAATTAATGCGGGTATTTTCATATTTGCTTGTTGACTCATGATATTTATCAACACAAATATGATATAAATTTGAAAATAGATCAACTTCAATACTAGTTTTTCATGTCGTATCTTTGTGAATAAATTAGGTCAAAAATTGCCAAAATAAATAAATAAAATATTTTTTTTATCTTTTTAATGTGGCTAACTTATAATTTACTTTTAGTAATTTTTCAGAATAATCAAATTTTAAGTTTTTAGATTAAAGCCGTGTTAGGTTGAAGTCAAGTGGGCCAGATTAAGTTATGACGACGCGTGACAGGCAAATAATTGAGCTGAATGAAATGAAGATGGGAAGGGAGAAAGACGTGGATTTTTACTTTTCATAATTTTGCTTTTTTGACCGTGGCAACGAGGTGATAAACTTTTTTTTTTTTTTGATAACATAGGTGATAAACTTTCGACTTTGAATAATTTGACGTGCCATTACACCTATGCCATTAAACGAGGGTACTAGCATTACCCAAGAAAAAATTCTTGAGACATGAGTCAGAAAACTTCTTAGTTTAGCTGTATTTCCATGATTAATATGTGGGATATTATTTTTATGAGATAATTTATCTCATAAAAAAAAATTATAGATAAAACTAGTTAAGGAAAAGAGAAAGAAAGAAAACAAATAGACTTCACCTTTTTTTTGTGTTATATGAGATATTTTATCTCATACAAAATGAAAAATAATATTCTCTTAATTCTTGGCAGGTGTCTTCAAGATTTTGAGATTGCATATAAAATTGATAAATTTTGTTTACTTTTCTCATTTTAATATAAGATATTAATGTTTCTCATGTTATAAAAAATAATTGTATATCTCTTACATACATATAAAAAATTGCATGGCCCGTATAAAGCCATATGAAGAGAAATAAAGAAATCACGAGTCTTATACACTTTTTACTTTTATATATGTAGGAGATAAAATTATCTTGTATAATATGAAAAATATTAATCCCTTAAAGGAATATAGATTTTCTCTTCTTTAAGTTATAACTTTAAAATTTGAGAAATATTACTCTTCTTTTACATGAGATAATTTCTCTCATGTTCTTTTACTTCGCTTTTCGCACCCCACCTTTTTTTTTTCTTGTAATGGTGGGATCTACCTATTTTCTCTCTACAACATAAGATAAATTATCTTTTGTAAAAGAAGACTAATAAAGTCCTTAAAATATTTTGAAATATTGCGAGGGTATAAGAGTTAAATTTTAGTCTGAATTAATTTTGCGGAGTGTATGATTAGCATATCACATATTATATGTTTAATAGATTAAATTGTAAAAAGAATTGTAATATTTGTGTATGTTTAGATTAATTTATTAAAATCTCATTCAGAAATCTTTTAGAAAAGAAAAATGAAATTTTTACTAAAAATTAATCTAATACAAACATCAAATTCACTGTAAAGACGCAAAATTAATCAAACCAACAATGTATAATTTAAAATATTGGGTGCACCTTAGCGTCTAAATGTTAATGATGGAGAAAGAAATAGTTTTATTAATAAAAGTATAGAGCCACGTCATTAGCGTCTAAATTCATTAAAACAAACCTTTTTCATAAAAAGCTCTTCACAAAATATAAATGCTGCTTTAAGACTAAAATAATTATTTCATTATTTAAAAAAAACTTAAATATTAAAGGGATTTTTTTGTCATATAACATAATATAATGTGAAGAAAAAAAAATTGAAATTAAAACTGAAAATGAAAGCCGCACACAGTCTATTCTTCATTCTAGGGATTTCATCAATCGATTAAAACTAGATAACCAAACTAAAAAATCGATAATCAAATTAATCAAAAACCAAAAAACGGAAAGAAAGAAAGAAAAATTCGCATATTCTAATTGGATTGAATCATTTTTTTGATTTTGTTGGTGAAAATTGATCCAATATATTATGTGTTTATTATTTTTAAAAGTTTGTGACTTAGAATCTCGTTATTTTGTAGATTTTGAATCTTGGATGTTATTGATAACAAATTATGTTATTTTAGTTTTTTTATTGTCTATTAATTTATGTTAACACTTTATGAGTTTTAAGACTTATTAGTTATTTTAGTTTGAAGTCTTAAATTTTTATTTTGATATAAATAGTAATTTGTATGGTCGAAATTTTAGATTTTTAAAAAATTAAAATTAAACTGAATAAAATTAAATTTAATCGGATTGAATTTAAAAAAAATTCAAAATTAAATGAATGATTAAATAATTAAATCAAAAGAATTGAATCAAATATTTTTATTTTAAAACCGATCTATTTCGGATTACGAACACCCTAGCTCATGCAACCATTTCTAAATCTGGAGCAAATGGTGAGAGTTCCTAGGTCATCCTAGTTATTTTGTTGCAGATAAATACAACTACATTCCAACTCTATCCTCCTTGTAGCTTCCCCAAAGCTCGAGGGTTGCAATACTCTATATCGTAACTAAAACAGCCTAAAACCAAGTATGAACCTTTTTTTATATATAATTAGCGAACTTAATAGAATTGACTAGTTAACGCTCATCAATAATAGCTGTGAATTTGTCTTTAGCGTCAAAAAAAACAACTAGAGATAGAGAGAAATGATATGCCGTACATACCACAGGTGTCTCACAAAACTGAGTAATAACGGTGCTTTGTTCCAGATCACTAACGTGTTGAAGATAATATCTGGAAAAACAGTTAGGTAAACACGCACAAACGCATGGTATAGATAAGATAAATGAGATGTACAAATAGGAGATGAATATCTTAGTTCTAAAAACTCTCATCTTTGGGAAGCGGGGGATACCCTTAAGTAAAGGTGAGAGTGAGTTGGGATGTGTCAAACTTAATTCAAAAAGCTTTAAGTCTACCTGAATGAATTTTAATTTGATGTGCTCCAATAGCATAGTATGAATTTAACTATTAGCCTGACTCATTTACAAGAAATAAATGGTCTGGTCTGATTCGTTAGCCTGTTAATTTTTAACTTTCAAACAGAACATGAATTCACTTCACAAAATACTCAAATTTTGTTGTTAAAACAAAAATCACAATTTCAACGTTCAAACAAGATCAAGAATCAGAATAACAACTTATCACAATCTGTATTTAAATCACTTTCAGAAGCAAGATGCTTAAACTAAATAATATATATTTCATCAGATCCCACAAATCAATCTATACTATATAAATTGAAATAACTACATAAATTCAACAAATGCATCATAATGATTGTAGTAGCCAAAAATTTCTCATCATCTTCTCTCCTCTACAAATACAATTCCAAAGTTACATAAGTTGGCAAACAATTTGTAAATGTAGAAAAAAATTAAAAACAAAAAATCTTTTTATACCTTTTATTTTTTCTTCAAACCATTTTTTTACGTCACTCTCCACCTTATATTAAAGCTTGGAATATATCTTCAGCCAAGCTACAACGATATGCATCAAGAACTCTTCCTCCAATACTAATTGTTAATTCTGATGGTACTATAGAGTTGGTACAGATCTTATGTTACTCCTAAAGGTAGTATTGGTGGGGGATCAAACCTTGGTCCTTCCACCGCTTACTCAAACTCACATACACCAACTGAACTATTATCATTTGGTACTAATATGAATAATATTATTTTATTTAATTAAAATAAATAATGTGACATAAGTCAACTTGTAAGCTTATAAACCTATGACCTACTTTCTAAATAATTTTTTTTAAATGTCCGAGCCTGTTCTATTTGACTATATGTAATAGACTAAGTCTAACCTAATATAGGCTAGGCCGTAAACCCTTGTAGGCTGAGCTGGCCCACTTTCACCCGTAGCCTTAGGGTAGAGATTATGGTCTATTTAATTGTGTTATGTATTTTTTGTTAATAAAATACATATTTTATTTTATTTTAAAAGTTCAAAATTAAAACACATAACAAAAACAACTCAAATATGTTCTCTAAATTTGATTCTAAAAATTAAAAATAATTACAATTTTTAAAATTATTTTTACAAAACAGGTGTTATTGAATAAATCTTTTTATTTAATTTTTTTGAAAATCAAAAAACTTTTTTAAAATACAATTCAAACAGACCCTATAGCTTTGGTTTTTCGTAGATAACAATAATAATAATAAAATCTCAACTTCCTAGTAAATATGATATTTTTATTTGGTACAGAAAAGATTAGACCCTAATCCTTAGAGCTTACTGCAAATAGTACGCGTATCACGTAAGTGCGTGAGAGCAAGAGAAAAACTAATCTTGACCCTTGACCATCTATATATCATCCTCTCGTTTCAAACTATATATATTGAGTCAATGCAAAAATGCGGTAATAGTTATTTCATATCCAAAACATCTGAGCACAAGGAAAATGTGCACATAACATGACTAATTCGGACAAGTATTCTCACAGCTCATCAATAGGCTAAAACTCATTTCAGATTCAGAAAGAGAACATACACCAATACGGTTTAAGTACAAAATAGCAGCTCACTACAGACAAATTATTCTTCTACTTTCAAATTGCCATAAGGTCACCATAATTTCGCATAAGCACTATTGATCCTGCAAACAATCCCACAGCACGCAGCAATTTCTGCAAGGAAACAACAAAAAAGAGAGTCAACAAACATTCTAAAATAAATCAAGCTTCAAGATATAATCATTAATTAACATGAACAAATACCTATAAAAATTAAGTAAAAAAACACTAAACAGCCCATTAACCACACACAATCTTAGGAACGGCAATTCCTCTAAACAAACCTCATGAGTAACCTTATACAATACTCCTGGATAATCAATTTCTTGCGTTCAATTGGCTATGCTGTAACTTCCACAATAGTCACAAATCATGCACACTGTCATATGAGTTTCCAAAGCAAAACTGATCACAACCAATAATGTTTCACATAAGAGAACACCCGAATTCCAGTATGAAACTAAAAGACAACGACTTTATCACTAAGGTGCTGGCAATAAGAAGAGGATCAACGATCTCAATACGTATAAGTAACATAGCAGGAGGCTAAACTAAGTTTAACAATTTAAAAACAGGATATTCGAGTTTGATAAAAGAACTGAAACTTCTCCATATTACATTGATGAATAAAATGGCAATCCACTATTGCAGCAAGTAAAGGCTACCCATATCACAAGAAATAAATTTTCAAGCTTCTTCCTTCTCGCAATAAAACGACACAGTTAACTGTAGTTTAGAAAGGGGCTTGCGATTTTCATAAGAAAATTGTAAAAATTCAAAAAACAAATATTGGGGCTATTGCTCTCACTCTTACTGTTTCACCGAAAAAAAGAGGGGCAATTTGATCTGATGACATAACAAATCAAACTACGCACCGTAATGAATCAGACATTGTATATTGGGGGCGAATCGAATACAAGAGTACGGAAAGAGAGATTACCACATTGAAGGCCCATTTCTCTTCGTCATGGATTTGAGAATTCACGAAATCTTTGAGGTACTGAATCGAAATCACAGAGTCGGCCATTGATATGAGATGAAAAGCGAAAAGCACCAGAATGAGAGCTTCGAAATTTAGGGTTGGGGTTCTGGGTTTTGAAGACCACGATAAGGGTTTATATATTTTGCTGACTGGCACGTGCACACGTGCCAAAAAAGAACCTAAAAAAAAGCACATCACTTTTTTTTTCTTTTTTCTTTTTTCTTTTTCTTTTTTTTGGAGTTACTCAACCTTAATTATCTCTTTGAGACGAGTTGGCTCCCTCCGGTATCCCCACGAGCTTCGACTCTTTGAGCCGGCTATGGGACTAATCCGGAGTGCGGGGGAACAGTGATGGCTAAAGGTTCAGCCCCCTCCCCAAGAATACATTCAGCGGAAATCGAATACATATCCAACCTTTTTTCTTTTTCTTGCTGAAATATGAATATTTTTGTCTTTAATGTTTCCATCTGCAGATAAAAAAGAACCATGGTTGGCAATATTTTCTGTAATTAATTTTGGAGAGAGGTCTCGTTATTTTATCAATTTGATTTAGGGGTGTATTGGATTAGGATTTTAAAATATTTTTTTGAGATAAAAAATCTTATAGATTTTAAAAGATTATTTAGAATTGGAGGGACTTTAAAGACTTTTCCAAAAGAATTTTTTTACAATTAAGATTTCATAAGATTGGATTTTAAGGAGTGTATTGGATTGAGATTTCAAAAGATTTTATTGGATTATTTTTGGACAAAAAAATCCATTGGTATTCAATTATAATTTTAATGGATTAAAAAAAAGTCATGTGATATTCGATTAGGATTTTAACAAATTATTATCATCTACGATTAGAGTCCAAATCCGTTGGTATTCATTCAAGATTTTAAATAATGAAAAAACAATCCTGTGGTATTCAAAAATCTTATGATTTTAATGAATTTTCTATTGATGTGGATTTCGTGAGACTTTTTAGTAAGAAATACAAATAAAATGACTCTCTCACAATCTCACCCAAGGAAGCACGAACACTTGTAAAAACAGGAAGAGTCGGGTCCGACACACTCCGACACACTCCGACACGGCGACACGCTCCGACACGGTGTCGGACACGCTGTTGACTTTTTCCGACACGTTGACCATTTCGACACGCGAATTTGACCGTGTCCGACACAGTCAAATGGCATTTTCGTAATTTTTTTAATTTTTTTTTTAATTTTTTTTTTAAAGTTAAAATATATTAATAAAGCTTCCACCTGATCATATCAATTTTATCTTTTTGTCTTTTTTCCCCTTAAGTAGATAAGAGATCATCTCAGCATCATTGTTGTCAATTCCTATCACGCTCTTGTTGTTTCTTCTTCTCTCTGATCTCTCTCTAATATGATTTCATCTCTCTATCTGATATTAATCATATTATATCTCTCTCTCATACCAGTTCTTATTTTTTTTTATTAAAGCTTCCATCTTTATAACGTGTTGATGGGTATTATTAATTTAGTTTCATTTTTTTGTTAAATTATTTAATATTAAATGAAATATACACTATACAAATTAAAAATATTATTTAATATTAAAACGTGTCCCAACGTGTCGAAATCCATAATTTTTTAGGATTGACGTGTCGGAGTGTCGTGTCGTGTCGTGTCGTGTCACGTGTCGCGTGTCGTATCGGTGCTACATTCTCACCCTAACTCCTAGGATTTCTTGAGATTTCTCCATTGCAGTATTTTCATCTTCCTTTGGCAGGTTGACCTGCCCGAAATCGGGTTCCGCCATGGGAGCTTCGTCAAAATTCAAAAATAGTATAATTTTGACCGATTTTCATCACTCAAAAAACCCAGAAACAACGTACCAATGAGATTTTAATATAATCTATCTCAAAATAATATATTTTTTAGCTATTTTTGAGAAATTTTGGAAGTTTAAAAAATGATTTTTCAAGCTATGGGTCGCGATTTTTTTTTGTAACAAAATGTGTGATTTTTGTATTAAAAACAACATAAAACAGTGGAAAAATAACAGGGAAACTAAAACCCTCAAACCAATTTTCGGTTTACATCAACGAAAAATATCAATTTAAAGAAAGATTGAAACTTTCATAATATAAATCCTATATTTCGTAACAATACATTCATGAATGAAATTCCTTCACTATAACGATTTCAAACAATTTTTGTGTTAATAGATAACTAAAAACTTGTTTTTCAAAAGCTCTAAAACAATTTAAGGTTTCAATGTATCAATTGAAAAAAAATTGAATTTTTTTCTAAACTTTCATGTAATAAAACCCAGAAATTTAGATTCGTAATTTTTTTAGAATATTCAATGAAAATATGCATATGATATATGGTTAGAAAATTTTCATCACATTGAACAAAAACCCCAAGATTTTCAAGATCAATTGCAAAAAATTTCAAACGAAATTTTATCAAGAACTTGAGGTTCTATATGCAAATTTAGAATTATTTTAATAATTAAAAAAATTGGGTCTTATACATAGTTTTGATACCAAATGAAGAAGATTTTCAACCCATTGGTCAAATCCAAGAACATGAACGAGAAAATGTTAATGCATGGAGGACTAGTATAACTTTAGGTATGTGAAGAGCTGTTGCTTAGTAATTTTGAATGTTTATTAAAAATTATATTATATTTTACTGATTGAGAAAATTATATTAGGTTTTACTTTTTTTTATTAATTTCATTCCATTTGTTTGTTATTTTTTCATTGACTCTTGTAATTTTAAATGTTTATTAAAAATTCATATAGTTTTTTAAAATTTTATAAATTCATATTGTTCTTTCAAATATTATAAATTCTACTATTAAAGTGTTTACATGTTAAAAACTTAAAATTACAAACATAAGCACTTAGAAGCATTTGGCGGAGGATTTTTTTTTTTATTCTTGGGTGTGAAAGTAAATTTCTCAAAAATATTACCAAAAAATCATTTAATAGATCAAAATATTATTAAAAATGTTAACTTAAATTTACTGATTCTATGTTTAATTGATTATCAAATATTGCTGAGAATATGGTGTAGGACAACCCATCTTCCCGTATTTTCATATTCTTCAACTACTATCCTTTTGTGGATCATAGTTTTTCAGCCCAATCTGGAGTTCAATGGTCTCCACAAATTTATGATTTTTCTCATTGGAATCAACCATGATTCTTGAGATAGCTTCCTTTAAAGCATCATCACTCTGAAGCTTATTGCACAGTCAACAGTCAAAAACAGATTATAAAACGTAGGTTTTCAAGCGCATCATTTCACGGAACAATTTTCATTAACATCAGAAACACCATACGAATTAAATGCACCCAACCCAAATCATCAATGAAAAATGATGAATAACAAAACGCATAAACACGCTAAAATATGAGAACAGAGGGACAAATAGGAAACGAAAGTATAAACACCTTATATTTGAAACTTCGATGTTTTTAAATCAGCTGTGAAAAATAATTCTGCACAAAACAAGGAAACAGGAATGGTTACGAGCTGAGAAGGAAAAAAAGTCCAATAGCTGAAACTTCTGATGAGAGAAGGTACATGGAAGCTCGCAACTCACCGGAGCAACCATCAAACTTGTCTACGGAGGAAGGGGTATTTCTGTCCGACTAAGTTTGGAAAAAAATTTCACCGGTTGGAAATCCAAGAATATCACCCACCCTGTGGTATTCTTTGTTAGGAATCATCTTCATAATTTTAAATTTTGGAAATTTTACTTTTTTAATTTTTTTTTTCACAATCCTTATATCAATTATGAGTAAATAAAATTTTTAATGTCAGTTTTTCCGAATCTAAAAAAATTTCTTCTATCAAATATTCCTTAGAAAATTAGGATATTAAAATAGGAAACGGATCCTATAGAAATCTAGAATTACAGTTGTAATTTAATTATTGAATTTCTTGAGCATGTGTTTTTCTATTATTTACATAAAAACTTAAATTTAAAAATTGAGATTTTGTGCAGTTGAAAATTAAAAAGATCTCTCTCTCTCTTATCTAGTATGTTGCATAGAATAAGAGTTTACAGCTTCTGATCATGCATCAAGTGTTACCACTTCAATCATTTTTTTTAGCCAAAAAAGGACATAAAATCATAAGTCAATTCTTTCATATTTTTCGGCATTTGACCTTTTAAAAATAATATATTTAAATATTTCACACATAGTTTAAAAACTCGGTCCGACCATCAGCTCGGCCGAGGCCAAGGGTCACTTCGTGACCCGATTTTATACATTAAAAAATTAAATATATATCCTATATGAAAAATTCAAAAAAATCAAACCACCAATCATCAAATATTTAAAATATATTTAACATAATTCAACAAATTACATCCACAATTCCATATTACAAAAGCTAATCAAAGTATCAAACTATCAAAGTATAAAATACATATTCCAATGGAGTTAATGAAAAGTTATATTATCAAATTGAGGACCTCCTTGTCCTTCTCACATGCAACAACATGTGAAAGGAGATCTCCTACCAAAGAGAGAACGACGGAGGAGAGGCATGGGTGCAACGAATCAACGGTGGAGAAAGAAGAACCAACACGACAAAGGAGAGGGAGAGAAATAACCGAAGAGGATAGGAGGAACCATCACCACGGCGGAGGAAATCACCAGATCAAGGAGACTGAGTATATGCCTGGGAGAGAAGATCAGAAGAGAAGAATAATAATTCAGATTTCAGATCTAGTTCTAAATATAGACAATAACGAATTTTTATTTTATCCTATTCTTTGTTTTTTGTTTTTACACACTAAACGATGCGTTCAGTGACCTCCTCTGACCCCTTTGACTCGGGAGTCACGGGTTCAACCTGGACGTTTCGGGGTCTGAGGGCTCAACGTGCATGCATGGTCTAACTATTGATTCCAACCCTCAGAGAGGAGAGGTTAGTGACTCAGCGGAGCCGACGTCGAGATGAGGCAGGTTTTAAAACACCGATTTCACATTTTAAAATTAAAAATCAACAATTTTAATTTATTGAATAAATTAAAATAAGTTTCAATTACACTCTTCTAGTAGAGGATTTATGGGAATTATGGTTTCAAAATCTCGTACACAAAAGCTAGGAAGACCAAACAGAAAACGATAGTGAAAAATTTCAATGATTGGGATGAGTAGTATCGAAATGGTTGCATTACATGTCATTATTTGCTCCGGATTTTGTGTATGGGAATTGGGTTGACAATCAATTTCAAGTGTTTCATCACTTATTTCTGACGTTCAAATACTGTTGTGATGCTTTGAATGATCTCTTACAAGGAGGCCAAATAAAAAGTGATAGTGAAGGTTTTCGGTGATTATGATGAAATCATATGCATATTTGCCAAGCCACTAGAGTTGATATACTGATAAGGGATTTGGTAGTTTATATTAGATTATGTGTTCAATTATCAAATCATCGCATAAAAAGAGTGCATATTTATCAAGATTGTTGGATTAAAAATCATTATTTGCTCTTGGTTCAGTGTATCTAATACAAACAAGTGGTTTTGTGTATGGAAACCGGGTTCACAATCAATTTCAAGTGTTTCATTGCCTTTTTTGAACTTTAAAACAATGTTGCTATGTTTTCAAGTATTGTAAACCTCTAATTCAAGTTGATGACAACTACCTTTGTGATAAGTATTAGGAGATACTTTTGATTGCCATGACACTGGAAACAATTGCATCCTGCCTAATGCATTTTTTATTGTTGAAGCTGAGACTTTGGAGACTTGGTCATGGTTATTGGCTAACATAGATGCATGTGATCCAAAAGCAAGGTGTATGTTTTATTTTTTATCAACATCAAAGTATAAAGTAGCTAGCAGGTTATATTTATATATTTTTTGTTTATAAATTCTTATAAATTTAAGTATGTACTAAGAGTAGTACATGAGTTTGTTTATATACTACTCTTAGTATATAATTAAGTTTGTAAATAAAATTTTTATAAAGATAACATTTCTCAAGTATAAAATTGGCAGTTGCAAATAAAGCTCTTGGTTAAAAGCCTCTGGATATACACCACATGTACTACATTTGACCCATTGCCAATAATTTCAACCATAATTTCAAGAATGCGAAATTAAAGAAATATTTGTTGAAACTATATATTGTAAGAGTTTAAAAACAAATTTTTTGTAAATATAACTTTCCTTATAAAATTGGCATTTGCAAATAAAGCTCTTGGTTAATGGCCTTTGAATATGCATCACATGTACTGGATTCAACTCATTGCCAATAATTTCAATCATAATTTTAAGAATGCGAAATTAAAGAAATATTTGTTGAAGCTATATATTTCATTTATTGTTAAAGTTAAATTCACCAATGGTTTAAGTGTGTTATTATTAATTTATTGTTTCTTCTCATATATTTTTCCAATGATATAAAATTTGGACCGATTTTCAACTCGGCGTGGGTAATTGGTTGAACCGGTGAGTTATAAATTCAACCGGATCAACCGGATTTATATACAAAATAAATATAATAACAATATTTTGATTGATAAGCTATGTTAATGTGCACCCTTCATAATAATACTAACACAACTTTTATGTGATTATCAAATGATCACGGTCTAAATGAAAACAAAATCTTGCTAACAAAAATATGTTGCAATAAAGCTAATGCAGTGATATGATGTAATGATCTGTTGCTAAAGTCACAAGTCACAACCAACAAGAAGAGATCCATCATGTTATGCTGACTACCGTTAAAAGGATGAGCTTTGTTGGTCTTCCTTGATCTGGCCTCGTTTTGTAAGTACTAGTAGACAGCATATACGAAAAAATATTTCACCAATGTGAAGTGAAAATGTAATATATAGTAGTTATAGAGGCAAGTCAAACATCGTATTTCTTGAGGAATAGAGACGTTTGAAAGTAATTCAGCTACCATTACTGTATTAGGACACTTCTCAACTAACCATGTTGCAAGAGACATGTTCGTCTTTAAGGCAATTTGGACCGATTATGCAACCGGTTTACTGGATACCGAACTGAACCGTCGAGCCGGGGTTTTTTTCCCTTCCCATCAACAATTAAGAGTTGCTTGTGTTTTCGTGGCCAGCCCAAGTCAGAGGCGATTGATTACACGTATCAATAGGCAAGTTCGTCTACAATTGACGTGTACCCTGGAGCAAGAATTTCTCGTCTCCCACTAAAAAATTGTCACTATAGTCTATAACCTTGCCTCAATTGAAATTGACCTTAGTGCCCTCAACATCATTTGACAATTACTTGGTACCCTCGTACGGGGCTCATTAACAAGTACCCGAGTGACAGAGGACCAATTTTCAAGGAGCTGTTCCTTAGTGCCACAAGATACATGAACCTCTCTCCCCATTAATTAACACGTGGAAATTTCAAAATGCGTTGTCAAATTGCACTCTTTATTTATAACTTAAAAGCATGAACAACAAAATTCTCTATGATCTTCTCACTTCTCAATCATCTCAGGTCCACTTCTTCATCTTTATCATTCTTTCTTATTATCTGCCAAGCCCTCTCAGTCTCAGCTATCTTCTTTGTTTTTTCTATAGTTCAAAACTCACACTCCTGGATGTGATTTCTTTTGCTTTATCTTCTATATATAGTCCTCAGTACTCTTCTTCCTTTTGGGGAGGGAGTTCGTGCAATTTTCATCAGGTATGGTAGATTTTGTAACATTTTAAGGTGACCACCACTCATCCAACTTTTATGTCTAACTTGTTTGTGCATGTTCTTTTTTCAGAGATATACATTCTTCAAGGGTGTTGTTCTGTTCAAGGATTTCAATGGAGGTGACAAACCAGAAGAAAAAAAAAAACAACTGCTGATCAAATTGACTTATTCATGGTAGAAAGTAAAACTAAACTACCGTGATTTTTTTTATTTCTTTTGCAGGGTGTTGTTTTTGCTGGGAAACTAAACAAAACCAAATTACCCAACAAGTGTGAGCTGATAGACCTCACTCTGAAGCTTTCACCATGCGGTCAAAAAACAGAAGAAAAGTGGCTGATAAGGTCATTAACAATGGCTGGGGAGAAAGCCAATAGTACTGTGGTGGCAAATGGAGCAGATAATGTTCTTCCCTTTGTTCCATCTCTGGATAGGTCTTGCTCGCTGCCACTAAAGACTGAGAAGGGTCTGATTAGGTTTGGGGACTTACAGACAATGAGAAGAGTGAAGACTAGGAACAGGTTTCTGCTGCGCAGGGTGGCAGCAGTAGAGCCAGATAAGACCCTTGTGGTGTCTCCGCCGCCTCCAGCCGGCGCTCAGCAACTTGCTCACTCAGTTTATAAACTCAACACACTGGCAAATCCTTCTCGGGATTCATGGCATGATGGTAACTTCTTTTTCTTTTGTCTCTTGATCCTTTGGTTATTTATTGCACCTAAAGAGTGTGGCGAAACCTTGCAAGACCAAAATTTGTTTACACAAAACGGATATTTTTATCTTTCTATGTCATATCTGAATCAATTTTAAGTGTTAAGACCATTATTCATGATTTTATACCTACCAAAACAAGGTTCATTTACTTTCCCGTTACATGAAAACACAGTTTTATGGATGCTGCAATTAGCACTGATTACCACTATCTGAATTCTTTTATCTATAATGATCAGAAACATACTTAACGTTTACCAATTTTACATAATTTCCCTGCTAAATTTGTCTCAAAGATATTTGCATTTAATTTTAAACATTCATAATTTGGGAATCTGGGTGGTGGTTCTGTACATTACTTCTTCATAGCTTCCACAGGTAATTTTGCACCAAAACAGGTCTGTTTGGAGAAAATAGCTTCCTAAGCAACAAGATTCCCTTATGTTCATAAGCTTAGAAAACCTTGCAGAGTTTTTCCCTTAGAGTTTAGACAATTTTAACTCCTGAACAACTGCTGACTTGTTTACAAGTAAATACATAAGTTGGAACGGCGAAAGCACTCTGCTGGGCCGACACTGACACTGAGAGACGAAAGCTAGGGGAGCGAATGGGATTAGATACCCCAGTAGTCCTAGCCGTAAACGATGGATACTAGGCGCTGTGCGTATCGACCCGTGCAATGCTGTAGCTAACGCGTTAAGTATCCCGCCTGGGGAGTACGTTCGCAAGAATGAAACTCAAAGGAATTGACGGGGGCCCGCACAAGCGGTGGAGCATGTGGTTTAATTCGATGCAAAGCTGTTCTCATTTGGCTATGGCTATAATGCTGAGATAACTTCTGCATGATTGTCTCTCTTGATTGTTTCTTCTACCTCACAAATCATGTGGAATGTGCAATTGTGCATTCCAAGTATATTTCTACTAGTTTGTTAAATCCATCAACGTAAGTTTAGCTTGGGAAATGGAAATTACTTGCATTTGGATTTTGATTCAACGTTTCTCACGATACATTATAATAATATTACAGGTTATTCTTTTGTTGGTGATACTTAACTCTGTTGTCTGCTGATGTTGTTTATACTGAAGGAAGAGCTAGTTCCAACGTCCAGACATCACCCAAGAAGAAAAATAATTGCAAGCTTTCCCCAAAAGCAATGCTTAAGGAAATGTCAGAAAGGCCCTCTGATACTAAGCTTGAGAGTCCAGCCAAAAAGCTTAAACAAGTGAATCCCAATCTTAAAGGTGATGCAATGGAGTTTGTGAGAGAGATGCATAGCGTGACTACTACAGGAGATGGCCCCAGTGGGAAGAGAATAGAAGGGCTTCTGTACAATTATAGGAGAGATCAAGTGTGTATTGTGTGTGTCTGCCATGGCAGCTTCCTCTCTCCAGCAGAATTTGTGATGCATGCTGGTGGCAAGGAAGTGGCTAATCCCATGAAACACATCAGTCTTTGTTCTAACTCATTTTAGATTAATGGATGAGATGGACCTCCCTTTATCACTCACCCCTTTTAGAATTTCTAGAGGAAGCAAAGAATCCTTACTTATCTTATCTTATGGTTCAAGTAATGTGTTCCAGAAAATTTTCCTCAAAAAAAGGTTTTTCCTATTTGTGAACATACACACCAGTGTTATTTGCAAAGAAATTTAGTGTTAAACTTAGTGTGGTTTAGTCTTATAATCAAATTGATGATCAGACTATTTTGGATCAATTAAAAATCATGATTCATTTGGTTAGATATATTGACAATTTTGGTTCATAAAAAACTCATGATTCATACACGCCCGTTAAACCAGAGCTTCCAACGATGGTTTATATAAATCTTATTACTGAAATCACCCATCATTAGAGCAGCAAGAAGGATCAACTGAAAGGTGCAAAAGAGGGCATAAGGCCTAAAGCCCAAGTAGAAGCAATAGCTCCAAATCTCAAAATCCAATCAATGGCAATAAGCATAACTAAAACAATAAAAAGGTAAGAATGTAAGATATATAGGAATAGAAAGAGAATGTCATCGGTTCTCTATTACTGATGTATCTAATAATGTACATAAGAGTCCTCTACACCTTGGAGGAAAACAAGTTTGGTAATCTTATGGGTCTAAAGCACAACACCAGTCTAACACATACGTGACCTTCTTACCATAAGCTTTGCTTTTTCCTTTTGGTTCCTTTTGGCTTAACCGCAATGTTGGTTTCCAACTGTATTGTTGTCTTCGTGTCAGAAAAATGGTTTTGCTATGTCAGATTTTCTTTTCCACAATACTTCCTTTTCTTTTTTTTTCTTGAGAAATTATCAAATTTTTAATTTGATGGATTTGTATGCTAACATAATCTTTTATTGTTTATGTTAGAAATTGTTTCAGTATTCTAAATCCTAATCTTTTATACCCGTTTAAATACGGGTGTAATGTTTCTGTTTTTGCTGCAGAAAAATATTTCCTGCTACATTCATATAAAAGTGAATGAGTCTTATTACATTACAAAGAGAAAAAAGAGAAAATATTAGTGGGATACACTCATATTTATGTAAATGTGGCAAAAAAAAATTATTTGCAGTAAAAGCAAAATTATTTTTTCCTTTAAATAAAATTTAAATTATTTTTTTCTTCTACTCTTTTTAGGTTTTAATATACCTTATGAAAGCTAAGCATACATAGATGATCAGGTTAAAACGAAAAACGCATACATAGATAACAAGTCAATAATCAAGCATTATTGAAAAATATAAATCTCGAATATCACCATCTAAATTTGTATTTAATAATTTAATAATTTTATAATTTTATATGATATAAATAAAATCAAATTATAACATTTATTATAAAATTTTCATTCTTAAATGTATAATATTATTATTATATTATATGATTTTACTATTATCAATCAACTAAAATCAAATTCAAATTTTAACTATTATTAAATAACAAAGTTGTTTGTGGAAAAGAAAATATGGATTAGCAAAACCATTTTTCTGACACCAGGGCATCGATACAGTAGGAAACCAACATTATGCAGCACCGATACGACACGCGACACGTGACACGACACGACACTCCGACACGTCAATATTAAAAATTATAGATTTTGACACATTGGTACACGTTTTAATATTAAATAATATTTTTAATTTATATAGTGTATATTTCATTTAATATTTAATAATTTAACAAAAAAATGAAACTAAATTAATAATACCCATCAACACGTTATAAAGATGGAAGCTTTAATAAAAAATAAGAACGGAGATGAGAGAGATATAATATCATACAGAGAAATCAAATCATATTAGAGAGAGATCAGAGACAAAGAGATACAACAAAAGCGTGATAGAAATTGACAACAATGATGCTGAGATGATCTCTTATCTACTTAAGGGGAAAAAAGACTAAAAAATAAAATTGATATGATCAAGGTGGAAGCTTAGATTTTAATTTTTTTTAAAAATAATTTTTAAAAAAAAAAATTAAAAAAAAAATTACGAAAATGTCATTTGACCGTGTCGGACACGGTCAAATTCGCGTGTCGGAATGGTCAACGTGTCGGAAAAAGTTGACCGCGTGTCCGACACCGTGTCGGAGCGTGTCGCTGTGTCGGACACGACTCCCCTTGTTTTTACAAGTGTCCGTCCTTCCTTCGCTGTAATATAAAGCGAAAAGAAAAAAGCAAAGCTTATGACATGAAAGGCCACAACATCCATTTGTAGCAGCAGAGGAATACCCTTCATCTATTAGTCCTCTCCTCCGACTAAGAGAAGCTAAATAGGCATAGAAAATTGCTACTTTATTGCATAATGTGTTTGGTTTTTATGTTTTGAACTCATAATCATTGTTTGAATAGAAGTTTAAAAAATAGCTTTTCAATCCATGATTTGAGACTTTTCAAGTGGAATTCAAAATTCTTCATAGCGCATGGCAACTCACAAGCTACTTCTCATCAGTCACTAAAACTGTAGGTTTTAGAAAAGTCAGCGCAACAAAATCACTCTGACTTGGTTAGAAAAGTTTTTTGGAATCTGTCTTCTTGCTTCTATCATCTTGGATGATAATCACCCCCTAGTTTTACTTTTTCATATCTTATATTTTGGTAAATAATGTTTATTTTTTATTCAAGTTGTTTCTTAAATCTAAATTCATAATAAGAAAGAGGTAACTATATCTGATTTTTTAAACGTTAAAAGAAACAAAAGGCTAACTATGCTGTGAATTTACCTCTTGAATGCGGTACCTGTTTATTATGTTGCCAAAAAGTGATTTCATCCAATTTATTAACTATTGTTCGGATTTCCTAGCTAAGTCTATTAGTTTTCTCTTTTCTTTTTGTGCTCAGGCCCTCATTGTGGTCCAATAAAATGATAACGCTTCGTTGCAGGAGGAATGTGAGTTTATGAAAGTCACAAAAATCTAAAAACCAGTTTAACGGCACCATTAAAAGCATTCTTTCCAGGGCTCAAATATTTTCTTCCATATACTTAACCATGTGCACACTGCATATAACAATTACACCTCCCATAAGAGTGGAGCAGCCGAAACTGTAGAGCAAAGCAGAAAAAAGTTGTGTCACTATCAGCAGAGAGAAGCTTGGGGTTCACCCTATCAACAATAGAGAAACTGCAAGTCCTCTAAAAAGTAGAAGAATTTGGTGCCATCTGCAGCCACTAATGATATTTGACATTTTCCCTAGCTACAGCAAGAGTTCTTTGTTATCTGATTGAGGATTTTGTTTCCAGTGTTGCTCACTGTTTAGAATTTTATTTCTCACTATGTCATTATAACCCCATTACAGTATACCATGTCAACTAAAGTAGATAGATAAATAGAAACTGCTCAACTAGTCCTCTTATACTCACCTAGGCACATAGGTAAAAATCGTACATGGTTTCCATTAAATTTATGAGAAAAAGAAAAGGAACTCACATAGTTCCAATTTACACATAAAACATCCACAACAGAGATTCATGTTAAACAACTCAGTAGGAGGAACATTCTTGCTCTATATAGCTCAGATATATCTCAGCAAAATAGAATGAAGTGTATTCGTAACGAAAAAACAAAAAAAGATGTGACCGATCCAAAACACCTCCTGCAAGGGCTGATCAACCTATTGATCATTGCAATGATGAAAGCCAGAAACCTGAATTTCTGCCTAAACAATTGGAAAGGAAAGAGGTGTTTGTCTTCCTTTTCCTATACAAATATTATCACCCACCAGTCTCTATTGTTTTGTTTTTGTTAATGTTGTTCTATTCTTTCATTAACCAATATGCTCATGCTGAAGTTGATGGTGTAGAATTAAGGTTCCCCACACCTTGACGTCCACCCCTCCCACCTCCATTCTGACTTGGCCGTTGAGAACTTTCTCCCTTCTGTCCTGTTGAACCCTTAGGTCGCCCTGAGAACTCTCCTTGGTTTCTGAATTCATTTCTTCCATAACTCCGTCCACCACCGAACTTCCCACGTCCTCTGAAGCTCTCGCTTCGGAAACCACCTCTTCCTGAAGGATACCTCCCTCTCCCACTACCGCTGACTATAATAAGAAAAAAAGAGCATAATCAACATCTCTCTGATAACGTTGGTTTTATGCCCAGCAAATATAAATCATGTTTAGCTCAGAATAAGAGGGAAGAAATGAAAATATGTTGGCATACCTCGTGTAGTAGTTCTTTTTTCCTCAACAACAGCTTGTCGCTCACCAACAGTCATTGGTGAAGCCTGAAATTCATTTTAGCAAGATTTATTCCACGAAAAATTTAGACTTTTGGTGGGTCATGATATGCAATGATAGACAAATACAAAAGATAACATGAAGATGCTTCAAAATGAACTGAATCACTGGTAATTGGTGCAAATAAGAATTCAACACCCGCATATTCTCTAGTTATATAATCTAACAAAAAAAATCAAGTTAGTCTTTGCCAAACTTCTGGTTATGGCAAAACAGGTAGGTAAAACTAGACCTATAGGTTTTTATTCCTAAAAATAAATACCCCAAAGAAAAAACTTGACAAGTAATCAAGAACCCAAATGTTTTTTAAATTTGAATTGGTAATCCATATAGGGAAAGTACAAAGTCCAGAACATCCTAAAACCCAGTTGGTCCGATCTGTAGTCTATATCCAGTAAAACAGTAGAGCACAGTACCAAGCTACTTCCTGAAAACCTCAATAGAGTTCCTATCTGGGGTTCATGCTACCTTAAAGCATTTCTGCATAGGAAAAGCCAATGGCATCCATGGCTTCATATTACTAAGTTAGACAAGGTCAAAGTCATTTGGACCTGCCACTAAAATCCATAGGGCATAGAACCGTAATAGTGAACTGATATGTTATGTACTGCAATACAGCATTGTAGATGATTTCCTCATTATATGACAAAGTAACTGCATCTTTTTTACCAAAAAAACAAATGGAGTAGAAAAATGGATCATTAGTTGACTTGTTTCCCCTTCTCTGATTCTTCTAAAACAGGTAAAAAGAAATTGATGTGTAAGGCCAGCGGTGCTCTATATTAGGAAAAGTTGGGCGGTAAAGTGCCAACAAGAACAAAAGAAAAAAGACAAAAAAAGTGTGGCAGAGATGGGAATGCTGAGGTGGATGTGTGGACACACAAGATAAGTTCAGGAACAGATGTATCTGAGAGAAAGGTGAAGTGGCATTTACAAAGGAGAGGATGACAGAAACTTGCCTAAGGTAATATGGTCGGTCATGTGAGAAGACGACCAATGGAGGAAAACCTATTGAAAATTGGATCTTTGATAGAGCCCAAGGACGTCCATTGATCCATTTAGCCAAACCCATCTAGTGATATGGGTCCTTGTTTAATAAGTTTCTATTCAACAAAATGACAAGAAGACGGAAACATACTTTTCCTCAGAAACACACACATTCTATTTCTTACCAACTTTACAATGACAATGGCGATCTATTTTCCAATCAAACTAGATGCCTCCTAGTTCCAACTGAATTTTGTGAATACATTAATTACAAAGCAGAAGCCATTCCACTACTCATCCCCTTCCACATGGTATTGCTTAAGACCAATCATCACAACCATATTGCTACCATTAAAAACCTGCTCTGCTGCTGTCGTTACTCACCAGACTCCCCACCACTTACATAGCATTTTAGTCATGTCATTCACCACCATCCCACCACGATAATAGCCATTTCAAACTATTAAGTCATCAATACCATTATGTTGTCATAACCATCATAATCAACTTGTCAACAACCGACACCCCTCAATCACTCAACCATAACATTAGCTCCATGACTTCTATCTACTGAGTGCTGGTGCCACCACTAGTGCCACATCATCACCAATTACCATATTCTGAAAGCAAGCCGTTTCATCCACTTGCTGCCACTGCAGCTTCACTGCAACACTGCTTCCTAATCATTCTTCAGATTACCACAATACAAGCATCTAGCCAGCTTGAGACAACAGGAAACTAATGGGAAGGAATAGATTTTTTAAATTAAAGTTATTTAAGTTAAAGACACTAGGGGAGTATATTGGCTAAGGATAACTAGTGCTCCTGAAAGAAACATGATTACTCAAAAACCAAACAAAAAGACACTGCAAGCTAAAAGAAGCCTTAATTTCTAATGTTGAGTCAAATACCTGGTGCAACCAAAACCAAGCTTGAGTTGTTCTCATAGATAACATATCATACAGTGATATGTTAGAAGAAACAAACTATGGTATTTTGTCAAATAAATCAGTGACATGATCAAGAAGCAAAGAGATTGGGTATCTCAATCATAAACAGAGATATCTTCTCAAATGCTTTCCAACCATGAGACCTGCTTCCTTATTTCACACAATTACAACTTAAACACGCTCAATAAACAATCTAAGCAAGGTTACCTATAATAATAAATACAAAAAGTCTAAAACTAATCCCATTTCCAAAGTGCATTTATATATTGCTTTAATCAGATTTCCAGAAAGGCCTTCCAGTTTAGAAGCATACAAAATGTTTTATGTACAGAGGCTGCAGAACATATTCAACACCCAAAAGTTCCAGCACCAGAACTGCTCCTGTTAGAAGCTGGAACATAGGAACTACAGGCAAAATTGATCCAAGCTAATGCTAATCTGTACCACTACCAATCAACTGAAAGTATTCTAAAAGTTATCCAAACTTTACCTTAGTCTTATGGATGTCCACAAACAGATACTTCTTTCCTGGCTAAATATACAAACAGCAGTGCAAAACTATAAAATCAATAGTTCAAAAAAATAGCCTGTACCTCAAGTGCACTATGCATGGAACTCAATTCCTCAAATTCAACAAAGCCAAAACAGAATCCATGCTGCAAGAAGCCAAAAGTACAAAATAGCTCTTTAGCTTGCCTCAGATAATGCTTAGATTGTTTGGAAGTGCAGATAGTAATATCCACCGACCTTACTACTTCTAACTTGGATTCCATCATGCTTAATAGGACCAAATTTCTTAAAGACGTCTTCAAGTTGTTCAACTGTTGCATTATATGGCAAGTTCCGTATGTATATGGAGTGACCTTCAGCTGTTAAAAGGAAAGAGGAAGTTAATTGATTTTCAAACTAGAATTTAAGGCACCAGTACATATGAAGTTATAAACTCTATCAATTGATTTAGCCTCCTTTTCTCTTATGTATTTGTTTTAATCTCTTCCATTCACAAGACAAAATTAGATGAAACAGAATTTGAGGAGGATAATATGTGTCTAGATCACAGGAACGGTCTGAAAAAGAAAATAGCTGTTACGCGTGTCAACAAACATCAATATATACCTTCTTCATGAACATCGCTATTCCCAGGTGCACTGTCACTACTAGGAGCTAATGCCTCAGGCCCAGGAGTAGATTTGCCAGTAGCAGGCCACTGTTCACTGGATTTAGCAGATGCCACTCTTGCAGCTTGGCTGGGAACATAGACATGACCAGATGCTGTGTTGCTTTTCATTACCTTCATGTAAATGAAACCAATAAAGTCAATGAACGTAAAAGATCGGAAGAGTACAACAATGCAAAAAAATACATAAGGACAAACTCACAATTGATGCATATGATGTCTTTGGTGCATCATCCTGGACTGCAGAAGTTGAATCATGAATTGTAACCACATCATTCTGACTTAAATCAGTAGAGGGCTCAGCAACCTCTTCATCAATAACTGATCCTTCTTCCTCATTGTCCTGAGAATGATAAACTTCATCACCATTATTAAGATTCTCATCCTCTGCAAAAGTTGCAGGGTCTGCCTCAAGATGTTCGGGAGCATGTATATCCTCTAGAAACATGTAAGACACAATTAAAAATTGAGGTTTAAGAAAAACAAACAACTGTTGAGTACATATAAAAGGAGAAAAATCATGCTAACCTGATTCTGGCATGTGCACTGACTCAGCATTTTCATTGATGACATTTACTGAAGCAGAATTTAACTGCAGTGTGTCATTCTCCTCGATGTACCTGAAGACGTCATTTAAGACATAATAGCCTCTATCTTGTGGAGCCAGAAAGAATGTCTGGGAGAACTTCCTTTTCACATTATCCTTCCCAGTTAAGCATCCAGTTACTAAAACTATCACACCTTTCTCATATGACTCCTGAGAATCTGCAGTTTTTATTTCTGCTGTATAATCTTCATAATTCAGGGAAATAATCTTTTCATTGATTGCCTGATCCAAAAGTTATTTCCTTCTCATTAATGAATTGCAAATAAACCACAAGTAGGGTTAACAAATATAAGAGGTCAAAGTTACTACTAGTATCCACTAGTAAGGAAATTCTTCAGGAACCAAACCATTTATAGGAAGCTTCGTAGGGAGTACGAATGTTATAGTTACTGGACATGTTACATCACAAAAAGTATCTAACTAAGTATACCAATAAGTTTGAGACATCATGACTTTAGATCCAGAAAGAGGGCAAAACAGTCTCAGAAATTGTTAAGCTAAATGTATTCACAGAAAAACTAGTCAAGCGAAATGACAGAACTGTTTGAATAATCAATTGACCAAAAGGTAATCTGTCCTTCAATACTACTAATTTTGTGACAAAACAAAAATAGTGTTATCATCGAAGTTGCATCCTTTAGCCCTCCTATAGTTTTGTTCCAAAGAAGTCTCCTTGGTGATTTTCCATGTCAGTAGTCTCTTGGTTTCGTTTTGTTTGAAATGGGTGCTTTATCAAAAACTTCTGGACAATATCTGAAGTGTAATTATATCATCAGAATTTTATTTCAGAACAAACCTAACAGCCAAGTCCTTCTCCTATTAAGTATATAGTGATCCCATAAAAAATCACAGAAAACTCACCACTAAGTCCTCAAATTACCCTCAGAACACATATACTAGACTGCTATCACAAAACCAAGTCACAATTTTTTTTTTCATAAATCCTTCTTGCTATTAAACTCATACTTTTAGTTCAAAATTCAACTAAGAAACATCAATTCAGTAATTTTAAATCCCAAGCTACAAATCCATAACTGTTACACCATAAATCCATCAAGTGGTGACTTGATAGACACATTTCTAACTGTAAAGAACCAATTCAACCCAAAAGCTTAAGCTATTGGGTGAAGGCCTTTTTAATGGTTTATATTATTATCTAATACTAACGAGTCATTCTCTAGTAAAATACAGACTCAAATTATAAACAATGCAAAGATAAAATGCATAATATGTGACATGTTGGAAAGAAATATTTTTTGAAATGGTCACTAATACTCAATAACAATTTCATAGCATTGTGTCTCTTAGCATCTTTCACAATTAAAATAGTAAATTGGATAATTGTTCTAGAAAGGGTTGGATGTAGAAAATGTAAGCCTTTATCATCTGAGGAGTGAATTATACATGCATATCCTGGTAGACTTACTTTCGTAGTTGTCACAGTCGTCATCACACCATTGCTGTCTGATCTGGTCAAGAAACTTGATTCCTGATAAAATCTATGCACCAAGTTTGGGGATTGGTGCAGAATGTGATAATACTGCTCCACGAAGGCATTGCCAACAACTTGAGCACTATGAGTAGTGGCAGGGCTTGCTTCCTGCATTGCCATCTGCAAAAGAATTTACAATAATGTAAAGTAAAAGAAATCGTAATTAACCATGGATAAATTTTAGTCGTGGAAAGCAAGAGAAATATTTCATTTTTCCACCTTGCCATGCCCCACCCCTGTTGCAAATACCAAAAGAAATCGCATAACTGAACTAATTATATGTCATAACAAAGAACAAAACAAAGACTCAGTGTCTTGAAAACATAATTCAGGGTGAAAGCTATAGGAAAGCATTACATCAGAACCTACAAATAGAAGGAACAATGTAAATGTAGAGTGGAGAAATATGAAAATACGAAACTTCAAACTTGCTAATTGTCAAAGACGCAAATTCCTTAAACAATAACTTCATGGAGACCGCTTGCTAATGTCACCACATGTAGTTTCATCACTAAAGCAAATGACGAGGTAGACTGTTATCACTCATACACAAACGGGTCCAATGATCAGAACACCTAAATCACTTCCCAGTCCTTACTTCCCAGGTCAAGTGTGAGGACTATTGTAACAGTATCTCCGAGATAACATATAATAAAACAACCTAATCAAGTCGCAAAAGTAAAGCTAGAGAATATTATAGTCATACCTAGAAGAACAAAAAGAAAAATGATCAATCCAGAAACTTAACATTGGAACAGTTAAGTAATTTTACGCTGGAAAACCGGCAAATCACGAGAAGAATAAAATCCTAGTAAAACCCTTAACAAGATAACAACCTACATATGAAACATTCGAGCAGTAAAAGAAAAGAATTGTAAACTAAAACCAAAAAACTGTGAACTTAAAAGCCGCAAATCATGATAAGAAGAAAAACAAACTAGGAAAAATCCTCGCGTACATCCTTAAAGGGATAGATACTAGTCCTAAAAGACACAATATTAACAGATCAGACAGCAAGCAAGATGCAGAACAAAGCCATAAACGAAAACTAAGATATCCGACAATAATTATAAGAAACATGTTCGTGAGTACAAGCACGTGTGTACCTGCTTGGTTACAGACACGGTTTATAAAGCAGAGAGAGAGAGAGAGAGATCGACAGCGCAGAGTGTTTGGAGGGCGAAGGAAGTTAGAGAGAGAGAGAGCAAAGATTCTGAAGCTTAGTTTGTGTTCGGAGATCACAAGAGCCGATGACTCCCGCTATTTGCTTTTTCTATTTCTAAGATGCCTTATTATTATTATTATTGGAAATATAAGAATTATACCATAGAAATGAGATTTTTTATCTTGTAATTGTTTAAAAAATATGTACTAGAAGAAGAAAAAACATTTTATAGTTATAATTATGTGCTACACTTATAGCACATGGTTAAAAACGGTTGTAGGATGGGTCATCCTATTACCCTATTATTATTCTCTTTATGGTTCATTATTTTTTTTAATTTTTAATCAGTAATTTTTTTTTTTCTCACTGCAAAAGAAAATAGAAAATAAAAAAAATTCCCTTCGGTCAAACGACATGGTGGTTCGTAAAAGCTATTAAGCTAAAACAAACAATGCCTTTATCAATTGTCATCTCAGCTGAGTTAGTTGAAGTTTTCAAAAAGTAAATAAATCGTTTGACAGTTAAAAAAAAAATTTAATTTTTTTTTTTTTTTTTTTTTTTTGTGTTGTGCGTTTTTGATAATTGAAACACTAACAGAATTCTTTAATCATGAGTAACTTGACCATAGTTCTCTGAGTGGTCCTTTTTGATATTATTAATTTGCTACTACTTGAAAATTCAGTATAGCCATTGTATGCCTTGACGATCGACTAGTCGTGATCAGTGATCACAACGAAGTCTTGGCTTACGTGCCAACTAAGACTTAACATTTTGATTAACTTGTAATTAAAGTAGTGATGAAGTGAATCATTATTTAAAGGCACAAATGTGTTTACCGAAAAAAAAAACAAACAAAGGCACAAATGTAATACGAAAAAATAAAAAAAAAATGGTACAAATGATCCGGGGATGATTTGCATTTTACGTTTTTGAAAAATAAACGAGTTCTGTTAATTTGTTGTTAAGAAACTAATTCTTTATTTGATTTACTTTACTTCCGCTTGAGAATAAATTATAAATGAATTTCAGTTTATGTTTATATTAATTTATGGAAAAAATATTATCATTTTAAATAACATAATTTTATATTATTTTAAATAACATAATTTTATATTATTTTAAATGAAACAACCGTATTTTAGTGTATATTTAGTGTTTTTTATACGATTAAATACTTTTTTGGTCCTCAATAAAAAAATATAGAACTCATTTTAATTTTTTAGAAAAAAAATACTCATCTCAATCCTTTTTGAGGGACTAACATGAATCTTTTTTGAATTTTAAAAAGACTATAATCTCAAAAAACTAGAATTTCATTGGGATCATAAATCAATTTTTTTTCTAAAGATTAAAATAGATTTTATGTTTTTTTGTTGAGGAATCAAAAGAGAAGAGTATTTGCTCTTTTTATATTCTCTTATTCACAAAATCAAGAGGAGAGAGAAACAAAAATGATTGTGAAAGAGAGAGAGAATCTAAGAACCTATCAAAACACAATTGTTTCACTAAAAATGATACAAAATTTGTCACTTAAAATAATAAATATTTTTTCATTGATTTATTTTTAAAAAATAATAAATAAAAAACATATATAATATAAAGAGAGAGAAAATTTTGTCGATAATCATTTTATCATTTTAAAAGATAGTCATTTTAATTAAAAAGTAGTATTTTTTATTAAAAAAATTACTCACTTTCTTATATCTGATTTTTATTGTGTATTTCTTACTCTCAATAAATTAAAAAATAAATTCTATGTCCTTTAAGAGTAAAATACCAAATCCAAATATAAACGGATCGGTCTAAAAAAAAGTGTGCGGATCCGGATCCGGATCCGAGGCGGTTTCGGATTCAAATCAAGGGAAAGGAACAACGCGAGGGTGGTTGATCTGAACTGAACTCAGCTTGTGAAACCTGAAGTTTGTGGTAATCATCTAGAACCTTCGTTGAGTGGTGATGGCGAAACTGTTGCAGAGCCTGAAGCGGTTTATGAAGAAGCCATGGGAGTGGACGGGACCTCAATCGCACCCGGAGTACTTGTCGGCTTTGCCCGGAGCCCTTGAGTACCGGGTCTTCTGCCCCGCCACCCCGAAGGAAAACGCGATCGTTCCCACCTCCCTTCCCGAAACGGTGTACGATATCAAATACTACAGCCGCGACCAGCGCCGCAACCGCCCTCCGATTCGCCGCACCATTCTCAAGAAGGCCGATGTGGAGAAAATGATGAAGGAGCAGACCTTTGCCGTCTCCGACTTCCCTCCCGTTTACCTCAACTCCACCGTCGAGGAGGACGAGAATGCTCACGGCGGTGGCTACCAGAGTTAGGTCATGTTGCAATTCGGGTGTGTAAATCTTTCGTTTCCCTAGAACCATGTTGTTCAATTGAAATTGCATTTTGAATTAGGGATTAGTTAGTTTATAGCTTTCGAAAAATATTGCACTGGAAGCCAAACTTGATAAGAATTTACTCATTTCCTGATGCAGGATGAGTCAAAGTCCTTTTTTTTAAAAAATAAAATAAAAAATAAATAGGATTATTTCCTTCAACATTGCATTATTGGTCTTCGTCAGATATTAATAATGAAAGATTGCTTCATACGGCATAGGTGGTATGTATGAAGACTGAAGAGGAGAGCTAATTAGTGAATCATCTCTTATTAAGTGCACGGTAATTTGAAGATGAAGATAAAACAAATATTATCCTTGTCTCACTTTACTCTTATGATTATTTGTTATAATGCTGCAGAGATAATTGGTTTCTCTGAAGGGTTTGATTGAGTTATTCTGTAAATGGCAAGTAGTTTGAACTATGGTGGGTGAGGAATGTAGGTTACTAGTATAGTCAACTTCAAAATATTTTGGAGGCTCTGTGAATTAGTAATCAAACCAGAGAACAATAGTCTACAGGATCCTGGAAGTACCATTTTGTGGCCTGGTGTGCGAGTTATGGAGTTGAGCTTAATTCCAGCTTATCTTTCCTTCTTATATTTCAATATTTCTTAAAGGTCGAGCAAAGCTGTTAGTTTTGCCTATATTGTTCTTTTTTCCCAATGAGAGGGTTGTGATAGAAGTTGCCAATCCTTGTAAAACTTTTTGAATCTTTATTATATGGATCAACAATACGATTGCACTAATGCTTGTCCTTTACCCTTAAGTAGTGTGTTGTATAGCCTTAGCACAATATTAACTTGGCTATAGCAGCTATGTCAGCGCACAGATGTACTGCACAATATTAAGTATTAACTTTGGCACGCCAGTAATGATGGAGCTAGAAATAAAGATGGGTATTATTATATATAAGACTTGGAGAAATAATGCAGTTAATGTTCTAAGGAGAGATAGGGTCACATCCTTAAAATTTGTCATCGAACAAGAAACATTCAACACTATAACTTATAGGGGAGTGTGTAACTGTGTATGCACCGCACATAGGATTAAAGGAACAAGAAGAATGAGATTTCAGGAAGTTTGGAAGGGGTTAGTTCAAGAAATCCCATAGGAAAATAGTATTATTTTAGGAGGTGATTTGCCACGCTGGAAGAGACATAAGGGAGTACACAGAGTTACACCCCAAATGACAAGGTCTGTTGTGACCTGGCTGCGATAGCAGCAGCTTTGAGTTTTTGTGGAGTGGCATCATCGGCCTGAATTTTAGCTAGATAGCAGACAAATTGCAGTTGTGGTTGCTATGGTTAATGGACCATTAAACCCCTGCTTTTCCCTTTTTTTGTATACTATCCCTCATATTTTTAAGGTGATTTTTGAAATCCGTACATTTTCATTTTTCCCCATCAGAATGAAAATAGGGCTTGAAATCCTTCTTTCTTTGTAAAATGACGCACTAGGTTCCTTCTCTGTTCCTTTGCACCACCATCTCGGGCAGACAAAGCATTTTCTGGCAAAACCCTGCTTTTACAGCAGCCCAACACTTTTTCTGGCAGCTTCTAAACCTCTTTTGAGTCTGCTCCTTCTTCCAGACTCTTTCATACTCGCAGGTCTCTCCCCACACCCTTCCCCCCTTTTTTTTTTGCCGAAACTTCTTCCATGATTCCATCAAATGTTTATTTTCGCTGTGAAACACATCCTTTGTACATCCTCTGTTCTGTCTGTTTTTGCTGTTTTTTATTAATTGTAGCCCCTCTTTGGTGCAGCTATCGCATCTCCCCTCAGCCTTAGCTTCAGTCTCTTCTTGTTATTGACTTGTTAATATGCCTTAGGTTGATGGTGATTGTGTGTCTAGACCATGACTTTTTATACTGGTTGCCTTTCTACTATTGTATAATTTAATTCTTATTGGATGATATCCTTTTACTATACAAACGAAATTGTAAGATATCATTCTTGCAGTACTTGGATTTTGCTGCTAGATCTTATTAACTGTAGTACAGTTATAGTAGTCATATCTTTATGAAGATACACCTGCTATCTTACTTGTGTTTGAAGCTATTTTACAGAGGTTGTGTAACTATGTTTGTATCTAGCACTACGTATGTTTCCATGTTTGGATGCAATTTCAATTTATGGGGCCGATTTGCACACTGGATTACCTGGAATAAACGGGATGCTAGATTTTATAACTGCAGTGCATGTTGTCATAGCTTTATGAAGATACACCTGCTATCCTACCTGTGTTTCAAACAATTTCATGTTTGATAATAATTTCAATTTATGGGGCCAATTTGCACACTTTGATCAGCTACAAAGAACTACCTGGAACAAATGGGAGTCAGAATTTGCAGGACACTACATTTCTCTGGAATACTTTTTTTTTTTGTTCTCTGTTTATATTGTATGCTCTGCATTCCCCTCAGCTGCTCCTGGTGCTCAATTATGTCTAGTATTACCTGTTTTAGTGTTCAGAGAATTGTTTATGATAATAATCTATTCATTTGTTTGGCTTCAACCGTTCTAGTGACTATCTTTGACTGCCTGTCTTTGCTTGTCACCAGGTTCATGCTATCAGTGGATAACATTATTGGCCCAGTCAAAATTGTGTTTCTGTTACAGACGTGTAATGTCCGTCCATTTTAAAGAGGGTGTAAGCATGTTATATCAATAAAGGATTGCTGGCTGCAGTTAAGTTTAACTATTTGTTTACTTATTTGTGAACGTTGCATCATAAAGTAAATTGCCTCAATGACTTCATAATGGATAAATTGGATAATCCCCCCCGAAATTCCCTGTTAATTTGGATTATGAATGAAGCTTGTCGGCATGATTTCAAAGTTTCTTCAGGGCAGCTAGACGAGCATGCAGGCCAGCATCCATATTTTGGAAATGAAATCCATATATATTTTTACGCTTAATTCTTGTTAGATATAAACCATTTATAAGCTTTTACCTAACAACTTAGTTGGACAATCCAACTCTCATCCCTATCGTATCTGTGCCTATCTTTGGAAAGTTGGGGGGAGCCTTGGGGTTTGTCCTTTTTACCTAAGAACTTAAATTTTTGGAAAAAAATTGTTAAAAATTCTATGTTATCCTCGTTCTTTTAAACAAAAGTTGAAAAATCTAAGATCGAGGTGGGCTTATGTGGATTCTCGTGTGTGTTAGATTTAAAACTATTTATGAGCCTTTTTTCGACTAGAAGAAGACTTTTTCTTTGTTTCTTCCCTCCCCACTAAATTTGCTTTTGAACTACCAATTAACACGGCCAGACATGTTCTTTTTTAAACCCTAAACCCACGACACATGACCTCCGTGGTATAATGTAGTAACTTGTAATGAAATATTCTTATCTCTTTTTCCATTCCTCTGTACTCATCCCTTCGCGTAATAGCTTACAAAAAAAGAAGAGTGAGTAATAATTGAATTTTATTTCTATATTTTATTGAACCAAACACTGCATGACCCTCGTTTAAAAAAAATAAAAACTTTAAATTAGTGATTTAAAAATTGGAGTACCATCGTATTAGTTTTTTTGAAAAATTATCATGAAATTAATTTTTTAAAGATACAAAATAGTTATTAAATTTATGTTTTTATATCACAACTATAATTCTTTATAAAGATTAAAGTGATGACGTTTTAGATTTTTGAAAAATTATTTTAATAATAAAAAATATATGAAAGTGATGCAGAATTATGAGAAAAATAGACTTTCAAGAAAATGCAGAAGTTTTTTTGCTATATTATTATTCTCCAAAAGTTAAAAGTCCCCCTTCACATCTTTCTAACAAGCTTTTTTAATTAGGCAATACAGAAAATAAACAACAATAAAAGACCATCAATGGTCTTAAAAATTGATATAAAACAGAAATAATCATAAACCAAACATAAAGTCATGCAAAGTGAAACGTTTGCAATTATTAAAATTCATAAAAGGCCTTAAAACCCCTATAAATGACAATTATAATGACTTATGGTGACTCAAGTGCATCATCCTCCCCTACTAAGGGAAGATTCGTCCTCTAATCTGCACTGTCTTCATCTGCCATGTCACCTTCATCTTCCACACGGTATATAGACCAAACATAAAGTCATGCTTTGCACTTATTAAAATTCATAAAAGGCCTTAAAATCCCTCTAAGTGACAACTATAATGACTTATGGTGACTTAAGTGCATCATCCTCCCCTCCTAAGGGAAGATTCGCTGTCTTCATCTGCCAAAGATTCGTCCTTGAATCTACACTGTCTTCATCTGCCATGTCGCTTTCATCTTCGACACAGTATGGGGATAAATCTGCAACATTAAAAGTGTCAACCACATTATACTGCCCTAGTAACTCAACCTTATATGCATTGTCATTGATTTTCTCAAGGATTCTAAAAGGATAATCAGCTCAAGGTTGCAACTTCCAGTGTGCAAGTGAATCCATACCAGATCTCCTTCCTTGAAGATTTGTTGCTTCCTATGCTTGTCTACCCGTTGCTTGTATTCTTCATTCTATTTTTGAATTTGACTGTGAACTTGAGAGTGGACTTCCTTGATGTGCTTAACATGTTCCTCTACATCGAAGCTAAAGTATTTCTGAATTATGCATAGCTAATGTGCATTGACAGCTGTTAACAGAATCACCATCACCGTACCATTTCCCTATTCCACGTTTTGATGATCTGATTGACCAACTTCATAGTGCCTGGAAATGAGTGGAGAAAAGCCTTTAAAACAAGAGATGATTTGTATGAATGGATGGTGATGTCATTTAGGTTGAGTAATGCACTAAGCACCTTCATGCGACTAATGAACTAGGATTTTTGATCTTTCATTGGTCGATTTGTGGTAGTCTATTTTAATGATATTTAATTTATAGTTCATCTGTTGAACAACACTTGGTCCACTTGAGAAAAATGCTTGAAACATTGCATGAGCAGAAGCTGTTTGTTAACGTGAAGAAGTGCCACTTCCTCACTTTAGGCGTGAACTTTTTGGGTTACATTATCTCAAAAGATGGTATTTGATGCACCCGAGCTGGACTTTTTAATAATTGTTAATCATTTTCCTTTTTGTTATTCTTAGATTAGGTTAGAGTGTGCGTTAATTAGCATTATCTCTTTGATTAGTGTGCGTTAATTGGCGTTATCTTTTTGATTGCGCATGATTATAGTTATTTACTTTTTTTTTGTTATTTTTTTTTGCTTATTTAAGACTTGGATAACCTTATTGTTATTGTTATCTGGTTGTTTTTGGTTAAATAAAATTCAGAAAAGAGAAGTAGTTTTTGATTTCTCGCAATACTTGTGTTCAGAGTCTTTCTTTCTGTTTAGCCAATGAGGTACTACTTCGGCATTAGTATTCAGATGGATCCAGCAAAGGTTGAAGCAATTACAGGTTGGGAAACACCAACAAGCATTCATGAAGTCCGAAGTTTTCTTGGTTTAGCCAAGGAATTGGGGGCTTATTAATTAAAGATTTTAGCTTCATTTCAACACCAATTTCTTATTGTATTAAAGGAAACAATTTCAGATTTTAAAGGTTAAGGTAACTGAGGCCCCTACTATTTTACCTGATTTTTCTAATGCATTTAAAATGCTACTCTTCTGGAGTAGGAATTGGGGGTGTATTAAGCCAAAAGGGGAAGTCAATTGTATTTTTTAGTAAAAAGTTGAATGGAGCAAAGAGAAAGTATTCCAAAACAAGAAGTTTTTCTTCTATATTATTATTCTTCAAAAATCAAAAATCTCCCTTCATATCCTTTTAACAAGCCTTTTTAATCAAACAATACAGAAATAAACAACAATAAAGGACCATCAATGGTCTTAAAAATTGATACAAAACAAAAATAATCATAAACCAAATATAAAGTCATGCAAACTGAAACATATATAATTAACAGAAAAATATTTCTGCAGTTATTGCAGATAAGTTATTTGCATTTATTCTTAAAATGACGTCAACTTCATGATTTTCGTCCCAAAACGACGTCGTATTGGACTTACTGCAGATAACTTATCTGCAGTAACTGCAAAAAAAGCGAACCCCTATTAAAATTCATAAAAAGTCTTAAAACCCCTCTAAATTACAATTATGGTTTAATACTAAAAAAATTATTTAGGAGAACTAATAGGATCTTCAAGACTTTTGTTGAGAACAAGTGTAGTTATCTTTTCCCGTCATAGAGATGCTAGCTAGTATACGGAATAATTTAGATGCGGGGTGTTGAACCTAAGTTTTGAGCAACTCCCTAACCTTTATAGTATTAGTGGGTATTCAACTAGTTGAGCAATTGGTCTGTGTACAATGTTTACAAACTACCTAAGAACTTAGATATTGCTCGTTGCAGCTTATGATCTCAGAAATCAGAATTCCGAGTGTTTAGCATTTTTGTAATCCTTATCCCATCAAGACATATAGATGAATTTGAACAAGATGGATTTATCGTTGCGGTGGACGTAGTTTAGTAACCCGTCCAAGGGGTTTAGAACTTGTAAGAGGAAAAACACAATAAAAATTGGTTTTATGCTTAACTGTTGATGAAACATTTCTTTAGATGCAAGGGATAACTCAAAACTCGAAAGGGACAACAAAGCATCGTTGTCAGTCAAATAATGTATAACATGCCAGCTGATGTTAATTCTGTCTTGTCCCTATCCAGCTATAATTGTTCACTTAGAACTGCTCCAACTACACGAGAACGAAATAGCTAGAAGCCTTGGCTCATGGCCATTTATATTATCTTCTTATGTGATTTTATGCTAATGTGAAATTGGCCTTAGAGATTAAGGTTGTTCGATGTGCTTTGCTATACCCAACAAAAATGCAGCATATAGTGGCGTTTTTACATGGAAAGGAACGTCTGCAACATGTGATTGCTGTTCTTAGTTTAAGACAGTCGAAGAAAAAAAAAAAGTGGAGCCCCTAGATTTTCAGTAATTTCTTCCATAGGGAGCGTAAGCTTTGCATATTCTTTTTCCAATTGCATGCCACTTGATAGGACCACATCCATTATTGTTCTTCCTATCTTTTTTATATGATTATATATATATGATCTTTTATGCGCGCAGTATGTAATTGGTCTTTTTCAGAATCATGAATAGTCCCTTTTTCCCATTTCCCCTTCATTTTTTTAGGGATAAATAAAAGATTACTTTTCGTGTTTTAGATGACCATGAAAATTATATAGGACCCTGAAAACATTCTTGAGGGTTGTTCGTAATTAAGAAAAAAATTAATGCTCATTTTATTTAGGAGCTGTTTTGCTACACCAATGTTTAATGGTGGAATCACATAGGAATTACCTCAAATTTATGGGATAGGTTGTATTTATTAGGGGTGTTCGCGGTCTGGATTGGATCGGTTTTGGAAACAAAAATCATTCGATCCAATTCCTTCGGTTTGATCATATAATCATCCATTCGGTTTGAATTTTTTTTCAAATCCGATCCGATCCAATCCAATTTTTTTCGGTTTGGATTGGATCGGTTTTTGATTTTTTGAAAATCCTAAAATTTATTTCATTATTATTGTGCAAATAACATCTTTTGTATATTTTGACTTTGTAAAAAAAAAAATTGGAAATACAAAAGCATTAGTAAACTATAGTATAATTTTTTTTTGGGCTTTTTGGGCAATGAGATATGAATCTCTAAAAAGATAAAATTTTGTTGATGAGATGTGACTAGATTTTTTCTTAGGTTTAGTTGATGGGTTAATGGGTCTTGAGTTAAGAAATTTTTAGGCTATGATTAGGGAAAAACCCAAGTAGGTAGAGAGGAATTAATATATTGGATCGGTTTGGATTGGATCGGTTTTTATCAACCCATCCAAAAACTGATCCAATCCAATTAAA